AATAAAATAAATTTTAGCTAAAGATAAAATAAATGTTAATTTTAAATTAAAAACGTCCCCATCACTCTAATCCCAGGATCAGGAATGTGTTGAGACGCTCACAGAAAAACTAAAAATTGTTGGCCCCATTACACGCAAATCTATGATTTGGATCGAATTTAATTAATACGATCATCTACCCTTTTTTGTTTTCTATCCTTTTTGGACGGAATGATGCGTTGTTCAGGCTCAAGAATGATCAGGAAGCTTTGAAGGACGGTTAGGCCCACATCTCCGGATTAGGCCCACGTCTCTATCCTAATATCAATTTCAAAGTTGTAAGGCAACTCTAATCAGCAACCTAACTGTGCCTATTCTTATAACCTTTCAGTATACCTACTCCAATTTTAGACAACAATAGCCTTTACAATTTGTTTAAATTTATTTAAAAATTATTTTAGAAGATTATTCAACACAAATCAACGATGTTTATACCAAAATATTTTCATCGGAAGACAATAACGATCCTCAAAAACTAACTTCACATATTTGTAAAGCTAATCACTTGATATTAAAAACTGAAATTGGCAATGAAATTTCTGAAATAGAGAAAATATCTCAGGAAAAGAAAATAAATTTGAATGAAGATGGACATTGGGAAAGTGCAATGAGCGCAGTGAGAGCAATGGATGGGGCCGTTATAAATAATAATAAAGAAAGTGTTGATTTAGACTGGAAATTATTTAATACATTTAGGTAGTATAATTTATGGTATGAAAAATTCTCATAATCCAATAATTCTCAATGGACTTTTTCGATAAATATTTTACAATAATATCGATGGCCAGATTTATCTCAAAAATTATTAGATCGCAGAAATTCACATTAGTCCTCTATGAGTGGGTCTTGACGATCAGTCTTTGGGCTTAAGACAACAACAACTCTTCGTTGTCTTAATTTTGTTCTAGATTTCGAAATTCTCTTCGACTTCCAATCTTCTGTATTACGATTTTTAAAATACGGCAGATCCATCCATAGTTAGTCCTGATCAGAGATTAGTCTTGATCAGTCCTGATCAAATACCCTAATTAGTCCTAATCAAATAAACAGGCAATTCTACGCAATTCGCAATTGCGTCCAGCCCTGGTCATGATCTTTAGAATAAATTTTTAATCCATATAAGTCTCTACCCATTTTTGGTTATTTTGTGACAATTTGGGTTAACTAAAATCGTTCAAACCCGAATAGCTATGATTTAAAAATTCACAAAAAACTCACAAAAATGCATTAAATGTATATTTTATAGGCAGATTAAAAAAGGAATCGAAAAAGGTAAAACAAAAATTCACAATATGAATTTTGTAATGGGCTATCCAAATGCTTCTCAACAAGAATATGATATAATTATTGGACACTTTAATTTAATTAAAAAAGGGATTTTGAATAAAAATAATGGGGGAGGGATTAGTAAATTTGGAACAAGAATTGAACGAGAATTGGAAAAACAATTAAATGAGAAACACATTTTTGATTCAAGTACAATTTTTAAATCTGCAGATGAACAAAAATGTAAGAATATTAAACGATATTTTTTTGAAAATTGAAACCGGATTACGAGTTTTAATGTTAATTTTATTGTTAAATGTATAGCAGTGGAAAATTCTGAGCAGCACGAGAGTCATTTATTCGGAACTTAAGTAATAGGGTTTGGAGCCAGGTCCGAAAGATGAGTAGGGCATCAAATTTTAGCCCAAAAAGACTTGGTCAGTCTGGTCCGATAAAAATAAATGACACGAACGTCGCCTCCCCCCTGAACTATTCGAACCCCCCCCCCCCTCCCGAACGTCGAACGGTCTGACGACGTTCGATGGCTCGAACGTGGGACCATGGATGACTCAAGCGTCGGCCCGACTCGAAAACCCCAACCCTAATAAATAACTCTACAGGTCCTATACAGTCGAAGAGGTGGAAGAATCCAAAATTCTATATCTTTTCTGTCTTTGCCTTGGGATCTTAAACAGACATTTCAATGGGATAATAACTTCGAGATGTCTAAGCTAAACTTAAAAACCTCTATTATTTGATCATTTATTTAATTCAGATCAACTAATCAAACCACTACCCTACTACATCAAACTATTAAACAATAAATATAAAGAAGGCGAAACTATATTAGCCGAATTTAATTTAACCTACCCAATATTATTAAAAATAGTTGATCAAATATTAGAAGTTATGGGAAATAATAATTTTAAAAATCAGTTTAAAATATTAATAAATATTGGAGAAAAATATATATTTAATAAAATAAATGAGGATAAAAAATGGTCAAATAACGAGCTTTTTGAAATTATTTGTGAATTATACGAATTAATTCAAATAATTAATGGGAATGAAATTGGTATAAATTTAAGTCAAACTGATAAATTAATTGAAGCCAGAATGTTAATTTTGTCAGAACATTTGAAAGAAATTTTGAATTATGAGAGAAGAGTGCATTTAAAGTTGCTGAAGCAGTGGGGGGCTAAACATAGACTTGTGGAATTTTTTCTTGGATTGGAAAATGTGGAGATTAATTATAAGGAATTGTTAGGAATTTTTGATTTTAGTAAGTTTGTTTAAGATCTCATAATTAGTTTAAAGCTCCTTCAAGAGTTATAATCCACAGAAGATTTAGTTGACTTAAAAATAGTGAAACATCCCTATTTTATTGGACAACGAACTGTTAAGGGTTAACAATGATCAAAATGAATTCTTGAATTATTCCGAAAGCCGTTGTATTGACACCCTACGTGGGTGTCTATCTCCTCTACTATTTTTCCTAATTAGGTAGATCATTCACATGACGATCAAATTGAAGATGTTATAATTCCATTCTCGAATGGTTAATTACTCGAGGGGCTAATTGGTCGAGAAAATATAAAATCTGGTGTTTATAAAAGGGAGACATAAGATGGGGGAGACATAAGCTGGACAAAAGCTCAATTAAAAAATAAAATTTTAAGATGTTGATGAACTTAAAGATCAGATATACTATTTTTACAATGAGTGGAATACGGCCAAAGATTATGATGTTACAGCAAATTCAATAAGCATTTTGAATTTTCTGTATTCATTAGAATTGCAAGGAGGACTAAAAGGAAACGTTGAATGGAGAAATTTTAAAATTCGGAATTTAATTTTTGCGGATTCTACAAAGGATGTAGGAAATTTAAATATGTCGGCGAAGCAAATAGGTGTGGCTAAAGTTTATATAAATTGTATAGAAAGAAAGATATGTAATTTTGAAGAAGAAAAAATTATTAAAATTAACAAAGAAGAAAAAGAAAAATTTTCAAAATTATATTTTGAATACATCGAGAATATGAATGTCCACATTCTTGGCGATTATGTGGATGAGAATGATGGTTAGTAAATAGGGTTGGCGGATCCTGGAAAATCCTAGTCTATTCGGTGTAAGGATGATTCACCTAGAGCATTTAAAACGCGTAGGCGGGGGTTGATCAATCTAAAAAGAATAAAAGAGAAGGCATCGACGCTCAGTGGTACATGGAAATCCTGTATTGGTGAACGAAAATTTTCAGAAGGTCGCAAGTTCGAATCCTGCCCAGTGACTAAACTTTTGCAAATTTTTTCTACGGAACCAATATCCAAACCAATTCAGAATTTTGTATTTTTTCGGATCCGAATATCCAGATCCGTCAACTTTAAGTAGGTATATGTACTTTTTATGTAAAATCAGATCTAAACATTTGTTCATGCCATCTCTGTCATTTCGCTTTTCGATTTTTTCCTTTTCAATCCCACTAACGTAAGTGGTCCTCAGTAAATTATAGGAAATTTTCTTAGGCATAACAGAAGTCCTGATTCAGAAAATTTTCGAATATTTTTAAAATTTTCTGAAAAATTCGTTCAAAAACAATATCGAGTACTGAGTCTAGGTCAAATTTGAATAAAATATCATAGTAAAAAAATTATTTTAAATATTTTAGCAGGAAAAGTAATTAAAAAAGAAACCTTAGAAGCATCAACATTCCTTGGGGGTTATAATTTTCTTAAGATGCTACGTAAAAAATTAGATGAATATGATATTCCTTTGACTAAACATAATGCAAGATTCTTCAACATATTTGAAGATATCGAAAAAATGCAGGTAATAAAAAATACATTAAATACTAGAAAAGCAAATTTATAACGGGAAGGAGGTACATGGAATCCCCAAACCTATGACTTGCAATCTGACATTGTTTAGTGGCTAGATCAAAATGGATCATTCCAAATAAATTTTTTCTAGAGGGTCTATTAGAATATTATTACTTCTAAATTTTGAAAACTAATAACAAGAAATTTTTAAGCAAAATTTTAGTTTTAAATTATGCAAAATATTATTTTGTTTTATAGAATACTAATAAAGATTTGAATGAAGTTGATAATGAGTTGAAAGAAATAAGTAAAGAAAATAAGGATCTTAGTGAATACTTTGAAAAAAATACTGAGAACTTTATTAAGGTAATTAAACAATATTGAGATTGATATATCATTGAGTAAAAAATCAAAGACTTAATATCTTTTATACGAATACCACATTATTAAAATATATTCAGGCTTGATATAAGACCTATATTCTATAATCCTTTACTATGATTCATGACATTATGCATTACCTAATCTTTATGCTTAAATAATTACCAATGAATGATTATAGTTTCGCCCTCTTGCTAGAAAAATTAATTAAAAGAGTAAGGGTAATTTTTTGAGAGGGTAACTATTCGAGAATATACGGTATTTAAAAGAAAAGGATTTAAGATTCATAAAGCTACGAGGTGTAATGTAATTACACCAGAAGACCATCATCAATCATTACTTCAACAGACAATTATCTTAGTATTCATAATTGATAATTGTCTAAGATGATTGTCTGTTCAAGTAATGCTTCCTTAGACATTTTACCTAATGAAGAATCAAAGAGAAGTCAAAAATCACATTTAAATTTGAAAAATTTAAAGATAAATACTGCCGACATGTGTGAAGAACCAACCGATAAACATACACTCAATTTAATTCATTTATATCAACATGAACTGGAAAAGCCAACTTCATCAGAAAGCGAAATAACAGAAGAAAATGAATTAAATTTTGAAATTAAATATAATAATTCGTTTATATTGGAAGCAGTTTTTTGGCGTTATAGAAGCTTTATAGAAGATTTTACGGTTGGGGGAGATGAGGTTTTAACAAATAATGACGTTATAGAACATTTTGGTGAATTATTAAATACTTCGGGTTATCGAGGAGAAATTAAGATAACCGATGAAATAGCTGAAAGATATAAGGAATTTTTACTGAACGGCCAAAAATTGTTAAATATGAAGGAGCTGAAGGAAGAGAATTTACGTAAAAGACTTTGTTTAGTCCACTCTTTTGTTATTAAATGGGCAAATGATTCAATCTTGAATGAGAGTTTAATGTGGAGTTCAATTATGAATACGACGTTGGGATTGCCAATTATTGTAGGTTTTTATCTGAGAATTTATATGTTCAGAGAGTTCGGATGTTGGGGAGAATCTGTCCAGTTTCTTGATTTTAGCCTAAGAGAAGAAAATTCTTATTTACGTCTTACTATATGTAGGAATCACACCGATACAAAAACGGATTCGTAGGGGAAGAGATGATTTTTTAAACTGATTTTCGGAAATAAATCGAAACGATATTCAGCACTGATATTATCTGTAATTGAGTTACGGTCGGACCATAATTGTGCTGGTATGGCTCCAGTACTGAGTATTGCTCCGCTATAAACCATAAGCCAGAGCCGGAGTCCAGTTTTGAAAAAAAGTCGTAGAGGGGTGCGCAAAATGTCCAATGCCCTCTAATGTTCGTTACCTCGTACATACTCACTCACACATTAATGTCCATCTTAGAAAAGGGATCTGACTGAATCCATGTATAAATAAAATTTTTCTATTTTTCTGTTTTTTTAAGGAAACCGATTCTTCAATTTTTCACCAATTACAACCATTTGAAATTAATTGCTCAAATAAAAAACAAGTAAAAAAGATAGCCGAACTCTATATTAATGGAGATGACCGTCTTGAACAAATACAAGAAATACACAGAAAAAATATAGAAGAATTAATTGGGGTGTCAGGCTCATTTGTTGAATTTTTGCGTGAAAGTTTATCAAAAACTAAACTTTTTCATTTACTTGGGCCAAGAAATTTTGGGGAATTTGAGACAGAATTTGCAGAAATTTTGGAAATATGTAAGGGAATTTAAAGATTTAGTAATTGAGTTGACTAATTAGAGGGAGGTACTCTCATACTTTGTAAGAATAGTGTAAAGGTTGGTAGCCTTTCAGTCAGCCATCCTTCGTTATTAATCACACCCTAGTGATGGTAAAACACCTTGTTCTACAGGAAACTTAAACAATCCTTGTGAGGGAGTTTCTTCTACATATGATGATAATTTTTAGGTTCTTGGGAAACAAGATTTTTCCTTAAACCAAGTTTTATAGAAACTAGAGTTAGACATTTTCAATTTGCCGGGCCCGGTATCTGGGTTTTTCCTTCCAATAGACAGGGGCCAGGTTTTCCGGGCTAAAGCCCCAAAAATCCGGTTGTTTACACCCGGTCCGGGCCCGGCCCTGTTATTCTATCGTTAGCCAAAGGAGTTAATTAAAGGGGCGGGGAAATTATTATGTAGAGGAGGAGGGGGCAATTATTCGAAGGAGGGCAACTTAAGCAAACTAATTATAGGGAATATGGAGGAGAATTATCGTTGGTATTTATATAAAGAATTAATTGGTCTCAATTATGAGATTATTAATGATGATCTGGAAAATGGGGAAAATAAAGAAATAAAAACAAGAAGCAACGATCAAGATATTAATCTCGAAATTAGACTGGCAAAATCACTTTTATTTAACAAATTGGTTACATACGAGGAAACCTTGATATTAACTTTGCGTCACGCTAATAATGATGTATTAAAAATAATACTACAATTAATTGGGAATATTAAATATTATATTTATATGACATTGCCTCATTTATGCTCCCTAAATATTTTGATTGAAGCCATAAACTTGTTTAAAAACAAAATTTTTGATTTGGTCGTAAAAGGAGATTGGGATGAAATTTTAGCTTTATTAGGAAATAGTATAACAATGAAAGTAAATGATGAGGATGAGCTTAAAGCAAGGATAAGACAATATAGAGAAATTCTTAGAGAAGAACATGTTAGATATTTATCTGATAAAATTGAAAAGGATCCGGAATTGAGAAAAAGATTAACGAATGAGCTTGGCCATAAAATCAGGATATCTTATTTGTTAGATGATGATAAAGAATATAGAAAACTTTGTGATAAGTATGGACTTATTGACTACAAAAGTATGTTCTAATTCGAGATTATCAGTTATTGTTATTGCTGTCCGAGAGTACAGAAAGCTAAGCAACTCGATTATGAAAGCTTATAATCATTGACTCAATTTAGAATTCTCTATTTTACGAGTCCTCCATACATAATCTAGATAATGTATGCATACACATCAGAGGTGAATCAGAACTGATGAAGGTGCCGAAAATCGGAACTGTCGGAAATCGGAAGTGGCTCAAAAGTCTGAACTCGAAATCGGGATGAAAAAACGTCGGAAATTGAAATTCCGATCACCCCTGATACACATCAGGGATCCAGTAGACATTTTCTGAAATCGAGAATTCGCGATCTTCAGGAATCGGGTCAGATAAATCTGTGTTACACATGCATATTTAACCCCTCTAACCGTTTTATTACAATTCTAATTTTAAACTAATTAAGTTTATCGAAGTAAAGAACAATTAGCAAACCACTATCAAGCCTCATTGGGCACAAGAAATCGTATGATAAAAGGAAAAAATCAGTTATCTGCACATTTATTTGTGTGGTATACATGGATGGATAATAAAATTCATGAAAAATGCTGCAATAAACGTGGAAAGAATCAAACATGGGGATGTTGTAAAATTAGAAATCAAATAAAGACGGCATGGGAAAGTTCTAAACTTAAAATTCATAGACGATATGACACAATATTTTACATTGATAATACTTTTGAATTAGCTGATGGGATCCATATATTTTTAGGGTGGTTCGAAGCTCAAAAATATTTATTGGAGTTAAAAATGTCAGAAAGTGTAGATCCTGGTCAGAAGGTATGCAAATGTATTAAAGCTTAACTCTAGGTAAACCTTTAACTTTAGGTAAACGGAGATAATTTAACGGATCTCTCAACTGATCACTCGGTGTATTAAGAAAGAATTAAAAATATGTCGAGAGTCATTGTGACCTTCTTGGCCGTTTCCTAGAGATGACTATAAAGAAATTCAACATATCTAGTCAATATCCTACAGTCTACTAGTTAACTATAGGAGGCGGATAAGGCTAAGATTAAGAATGCCTGCTGTCAGAATTCGACGACAGACTCTGTCAGAATTCGATGTTCTAGCCGTACTATATTTTGTAAAAGATAAAATTTTTTATTACTTTATCTAGAAACTATTGAATGAAAAAATAACTGATCCAAAGCAATTTGTCATAGAATTCGTGAATATAATCGAATTTGGAGGTTGGAAAGCAAGGGATACCGAAGCAAACACTGAAGAATTTATAAAATGGTTAAAGATTCAACATTTAATACAGATAAAAGAGTTTATGAAGAAGGACGCCTATGCTGATTTTCGGAAAAGATTGGCAAAAAGTAAATTTTCCAATAATAGAGCTCCAAACTGAATTAAAGCCCCACTTTGGAGGATAGCTGAAAATAGAGCCCCATATACATTAAATACCTATTTTATTTTATTTTTGAAAGTGGAAATATATCTTTACATTAAAAAATCTACAATAAAAGACTATTTCAGTATTTCCTCTAATTGAACGCCCTGAAATATAATTTCAGCAAAGACCTTCCAAAGGGACAACCACCTTCCGAAGGGGCATCTAAGTGGAGGGGGTCATCAAAGGAAATACACTATATTATTTTAGAAATGGAACTAGTCGGTGAATCTCGACTGTATGATGATCTATCCATATTTATCCCTCAAGATGCTATATTTGAAATTTTGGAATTAATCAAAAAGGAGATGCCTATTGCCACAAATAAAAATGATAAAAAATGGGAAAATGTGTTAAACGATAAAATGTGGGATAAAAAGGATGAAGTGGTAGCCAAAAAAGCTAAAATTAATAAAAAAGGTAAAAAGAAGGGGGCAAAAACGAAGGTAGAAGTGAACAACCCGGATGTAGATAATCGGGACGATAATTCAATTAAATTAATTGAAAGTGATCAGAAAGAAAGTGAGCTTGATAATCAACAAAATGAGAGAGAAAAATTAGACAGAAAGCCAGAAAATCAAATTTTGGAGTTAAAAAATAGCCAAGATCAAGAAGAATCTGAAGAATCCGAACAATCACAAATTAGTGAAAATAACAGCCAAAATATCAAAAAATCAAAGAGAAATTTACAAAAAAGAATAAATCAAAAAGCTAGAAGAGAAAATAAAAGTAAAAATGAAAGTTTGGTGTTAAAAGAAAATTTGGAAAGTTATGCGGAAAAAAGAAATTTGATAAAATTGTACGGCGAATTTATAGAGGTGGAGAATTTTAACTGATTTTTGCTAAATTATTGAGATCCAAGTTAATTTTATAATTCAAAATCATTTTCGACCTGCCATGTTCTGCATGTTTTTCGATTGATAATTTGTGAATTAATATTGCGTCCATTATCCGCTCTGTTGTATATATCCATATATAACGCAAAAATAAAGTGGTATAGGATCAAGCGATATCATCACAATACCACATCGTTTTTTCCCACATTATCTTATCACCTCTTAAGTCTATGTATCACTAAACTAGCTCTTTCCAGCACGAGAAATAACTAAATCTGGCGCCTTAATAATATGACAAAAAATAATTTGATCAAATCGGCTTTAACCCTTAAACTTTTAAGGCACCAACAGATGAGATGCGTAAACAATTAAGCATAGCCGTTTATATTTATGAAATCACAAATCGTTCTAAATGGTTAGAGGACGTAAAAAATGAATGGCCAATAATATATGAAGCAATGTTTTTATTAAAAGGAGAAAATAAAGAAAATAAAGCTTTGAATAAATTAATGGAAAAATTAAATAAATTTAAAGAAAGTGTGCTTTCCTTAAATTTAATAGAAAATTTAAATGAATTTGAGATTAATTTACACAAATTATTAAAAGAATTAATTTATGTTGTAGAAGGTATTTGGGATGGAAGGCATAATGGACGTGTTGATTTGGAGGAAATTAAAATTGTTAGAAAACAATTAAATTATAAAATGCTTGTGGAAAGTGCTGATCAAGATTATGATCAAGTAAATGATGAATATTATTCGATTTGGGAAGGTATTGGAAGGGAGCAGAAAAATAAAATTGTTGGCATACTTTTCGATAAAGGGTTAATTTTGGAGCAAAATAAAATAATTGAAAATGTTAATAAATATTTGAGTGATTGGAAAATGATGAAAAATCAGAGATTTATTGGTTAGCTTTTATTGAATAATAATTTTATTTATTAGTAAATTAGGGCTATGTTTTAGCTGTTTATTCAGCTTAAATAAAAGATATGTAAGCAAATCTATAGCAACAATATCAAACCCATCTAGACTGAAGGGAATAACAATTTTTATTAGCAAGCTTTTAGCTGACCAAATAAATTAATTTGCTAAAATAATATACAGAGTGACCATGCATTTATTAGGGCTTAAATTAGTGCTCATCAGTATACTACTTTGAGTTATCCTCGGCCAGTATCATGTGTAAGAGTTTCATGTACTATAGGGCAGCTGTAATGTTAAACATGACTTTGTGGTTCTTTATTGTAGTATAGGCCCAGATTATTGCAAAATCGTTGGATTGACATAGGTTAGAGCGTGGAGAGTACACTAGTATATACATAATATGTATATACTAGTGTACTAGTATATACATAATATGTATTAATATTACAACATAAGCTCATAAATAGAGAAAATAAAGTGATAATATTAATTGAAATATTTAGATAATAAAAATATTCTTGATTTTGAAATCCCAAAGTATATCCAACCAGAACCTTTCCAACAAATTAATTTTGATGACAAAAGTGAAGATATCACAAGTGAAGAGGTTCAAATAAATTTTTTTTAAATAATTTATTTATTAAATTTTAGTTGGAATATTTATTGGAAACCCAACTTAGAGATCCAGAATTGGTTAAAAATTGTTTAACATCCATCAGATCAACTATTTTTGAATGGGCAAGAAATATTCAAAGAAAAATAAAATTATTAGTTGGGGGTTCTTATATGTTTGGAATTGATACTATCGATGCAGATGTAGATCTACTGATTGTTTTAAATGAAAATGATTTTGATGGAATGATGAAATTTATTGGAACAGAAAAATCCATTTGTAAAGATAAAAAATGCCCTGATCAATCTTTATATTGCTTATTATGCAAGGTAGTATATTTAAAAATATTGGGTGACTGGATTGAAAATTGGGCGTTTTGTGGCTAGCTTCGGTTCGCGCCTATGAGCTAGTTCCAATAGCCATACACAAATTTCGGAGCTCAAATAGTGCCCTATCAAAAGGCCATTTCTGAATAGCATTTAACATAGGCTAGTAACCTGCTAGGAATTTATCGGATCTCATTATTCTAAAGTACACTCTGTAACAAAATGATAGGACTCCCTAGTTTTTTATCGATATCCTATCAAATATTGAATGGATTTGTTTTAAATTTTGGTAGAATACAGGTAAGGATATTATGTATCAATATTGAAAAGAAAAAGTTAAAAGCAATTTTTAAAAAAATTTTATGATAATAAATTTGATTTTGAAGTGTAACAAAATGATAGGACCCCATTTAGTTTTCGACCTTAGGGGTGGTCCGAAAAATCTACAAAATTTCCTGCAAACATATCTATTGATATCTATAGTAAATACAAAAGAAACGAAGTTCCAATATAATTCCTTCATTGAGATCTGAAAACCCGAAAATCAACGGAAAACCGGGGGTAGACGTCTTTAAAAAATATTTTCGGCACCTTACAGGTGAAATAAAAATTTTATTTTAGGCTTATTTGAAAGCCCTTGAAATTTGCTACAAGATAGCATCAATTTTATTTTCCGGAAAAAATTCACCTTTATTCACCCCCCGGTTTTCCGTTGATTTTCGGGTTTTCAGATCTCAATGAAGGAATCATATTGGAACTTCGTTTCTTTTGTATTTACTATAGATATCAATAGATATGTTTGCAGGAAATTTTGTAGATTTTTCGGACCACCCCTAAGGTCGAAAACTAAATGGGGTCCTATCATTTTGTTACACTTCAAAATCAAATTTATTATCATAAAATTTTTTTAAAAATTGCTTTTAACTTTTTCTTTTCAATATTGATACATAATATCCTTACCTGTATTCTACCAAAATTTAAAACAAATCCATTCAATATTTGGTAGGATATCGATAAAAAACTAGGGGGTCCTATCATTTTGTTACAGAGTGTACTACATATTTGATTAAATTTGACCTAATTTTACTCCAAACTTGTAGAATATAGATATTAATGATGGGATTATAATGGATTAGATAAATTAATAATAATTTAAATTTAATTTTAAAAATATTTATTTAGTTGGATAATGTAAAGAATATTCAAAAAGTCAATACAAGAATTCCATTAATTGAATTAAATTATTCAAACATTGACTTTGATATTGTGTTGATATTACTGCCTTCAGAAATTCCAAATACTCCAAATTGGATTGAAAAAGTTTTGGAAGATGAAAAGAATTTAGCTATTGGAGACAGAAAAATATTACCTTTAGCTAGTTATAAAGCAAATGAATTTATTTTGGAAAAAATTCCAAAAGAAGATTTGAGGACTAAAAATTTTCGTTTTGCAATTATTGCTATGAAAATATGGGCAAAAAGTAAAAAAAAATAATTTTTTTATGAATTTTTAATTAAAAAAATTTTTAGACAGTTCAATTTATGGAAATAAATTTGGTTTTCTAAGTGGATCAATTCTCTCAATTTTTATTTCAAAAATTTATTTATTATATCCAAATGCGAATTTACATGTTCTTTTACAAAGAATTTTTCTGACATTTTTAACGTGGTTGGGAAATTTTACAAATTATTTTATAAAAAAGTGCAGATTATGGGTCCATTCGCACTACATCCAATTAACCTTTATACGCACATGAAAATCACAAACAAATTTTTATGCGTCGAATCAAAGGCGGTCTGTACACGATTCTGCACTCTAGTAATATAAGATCTATGGGAATAGACAGCTCTATCAATAGAGTTATAGTAACATGTAGAACTTCCTTCAGATTGGGTTTGTGGTAGAAAAAAGTCCGGGCTTCGGGTGACACATGATATCCCTGGTATAAACCGTTTATTGGATGCATACTTGATTGGATGCGTAATCGTTGGATGTGTAACTTGTCAAGAGCCAAAATTACAATTTAAAAGAATAATTTTAAGGAATTGGCCAGCAATATTTCATTTAAATAAAATTAACTTAAAAGAACCCGGATGGATACCAATAAAAGAACGAGTAGATCGTTCAGACTTTTACAATAAATTGATAGATATTGAAAGTAAAGAGTGGTTAGGGTTGAATGCTAATAGATTAACTAAACACATGAACCTTGTTATTCCAATAATATCAAGTGCTTTTCCTGAACAATCTGTTGGTTTCAATATAAATAATTCTACAAAACAAATAATCATGAAAACAATGACTTTAGGTTAATTTAATTATTGAAAGTTAATGTTAGATATTAAAAAAATGACTATGCACAAAGCTCCTTCATAGTGTGAAGGAGTACACAAGGATCCCATTATCCTCCGTATATATCAATGGTCTAGCCAACAAAAATTTAATTCCCGATTTTTGGGAATCGGGAGGCCTAGATCCCTGTTATACATCCTGGCCTTTGTGTATTCACATTGTCTAAACTTATATATTAACTGGATTTGCTAACACTGGGTCTTATCTCACCATTACTTTCTTGGTGAGAGGTTAAAAATGAGTGATCACTAAATTATACATTTATTACGAAACCAAGTAATCTAATTTAAAAAATAAAAATTTAGGCCTAAAACAGCTTAGAGATATATACAATGCAGGACAAAAAAGAAAGGCGATCAAAGGATATTGGGAAAAGTGGCTTTCGGGGATTGATTTCAAATTGAATGTAATTATTAATTAATCAAATTGAAATTAAATTTTATTTAAGTATGAACATTTTATTATAATTGAATGTGCAGCAATTCATAAAAATGTTGGGGATAAATTTTGTAATAATGTTGAGAGTAGATTACGGATACAATTAATTACTACAATTGAAGAAGAGCCTCAATTAATTAATTATTCTCATATAGGGCATTCTTGGACTACTCAAGATTGCAAAAGGAAAAATACAAAGTAAAGAAGATTTAATAAATCGTAAAATGTTGAAATATAGGATGGCATGTCTTCCTAATCCCTTTATCCCATTTAATCCAACCAAATCCACCGATATCGCACTTAATCCTTCCAGGTCACTCTTTGTCCTTCTTAATCATCCGATTAAGATTGAAAAGAAATAAAAAATCTGTGTTGACAAAAAGTTGTTGGTCTTCAGGGTAATTCGCATTGAGGATGTAGATCTTCAAGATCAATAGGTCTTCAGTGTGTAGGTCTTCAGGGGTGGACTCGCCTAACCACCCTGTTAGGGTGTTCTGTGTTTTTCAGTGTGTCTCCCTTTAAGTGAATTTTTGTGTGTTAAACTTAAATTTTTATTTAAATCAAATTAAAAATATTTATAAATTTTAAGAAATCTCAAGCTTCAATATTGTAAATATTGGTTAGTTGGTCTAAAACTTTTTAATAATAATCATCAGAAAGTTTCTGAAAAGGAATTTACAGAATTAATACAAAAAAGGATGGAAATTTTTACTTCAAGGATATTGAAAGCAAATAATATTAAAAAGATGAATTTAAAACAATTAGCTTTAAATTTATTTTATGTGAAGAGAGAAGGATTGAATAAATGGTTTGGATTTAATAGTCTGAAGTAGGGTTGTTCCCAGTTTCCCCGTCCACGCCCCGCACCGTGGCGCTTACACCCCGAAGATTTATCTCCGTGCCCCGTCCGTCGGGGAACAACGCTAATCTGAAGTAATCCTTAGTTGACCCTTGTGGTTGAAAAATTAGCAATCTACTAGATATCGGCCATTATTGTGACGATTTAAGTAACTCCTCCGTCGGGTGGCCTACCAAGTTGATTTTAGTCTTGGTGGCCTATCAAGACTAAACTCAAGGTGATCTAATAATAAGGGTAATTTGGTTCATTTTGGCAACCCTCTTGAAAATTGAGTTCTAACTATAAATATTTACTAAAAATTTAAAAAATTTTAGGATACAAAACTGATGTACTTTTTGATGGTTTGTATCCGTGCCATTTTAATTTTATAATATAAATATTATTGTAGTTTAGAATGAAAGTGACAAACATAGAAATTAATTTTCAACTCTTGATTAAAAATTATAAACTAAATTAATAATTTTATTCTCCATATTGTATTATTATTGTCTTAGATTTTTAAAATTTATTAGATTTTGAAATTTTAATTGTATCATAACTTTGCGATAATTTGACGTAAATATTAGCACTGAATTTTATAAATTATACTTTTTTATAAATATATTTGTCTACATGAATGCTAAATTTCACATGAAATTAGTCTTAAAAATCTGCAGTATACGCAAACTTTATAGTTTACGTACTTGGCATATTAGGGTAATGGTCTGTAGATTTGAATGTATGCGAGTACGTGCTTCCTACCCTTTTCAATCCCAATTTAAAAACTGCTTATTAGTGCATAAATATCATTATCGAGAATGTATTAATAATGAGATTAGAATATTCGTGTAAGAAATGAAACTTATAATTGGAACAAATAGTATTACATGTAACAAATTTAATCATAAAATGAACTTATAATTGATATAGATTGAGAGGAGGAATACAAGGTGTTGCGACAATTGAGGATACGCACTTGAGGATATGACAAATGAGGACGACAATTGAAGATCTGACATATGAGGACGACAAATAAGGACGACATATGGATATGGCAAATGAGGACGACAATTGAGGATTAAAATAATAATAAAAAACGGTGATCCTTGACCTTTTGAAATTCAAAAATGTTCACCTGCGGAGCTGAAAAGAGAAGAATTCTTCATTATTGGTCTTCCAAGTGGGAGTCTTCCGAGTTTTATGGATCTTTCAAGTCTTTTTTATCATCCATTTTTATCCTCATTTGTCAAATCCTCAAATGTCGTCCTCATTTGTCATATCCTCAAGTGCGTATCCTCAATTGTCGTACCGCCGAATAGAATGATGATCGAAGTTGCTGAAACCTTATAACAAAACCTTTATCATAGATTTTTAGGAATCTGTTTACGAAATAATTATTTTTAAAGATAAATTCAGCTTAAAATTAATTCCAACTTTCTACTAACATTCTAAAATGTTCGTCAATATTTGTTTTACTTATAAGTTGTTCGCCTTGAATATTTTTTACAGAATTGAGAATGTGGGAATTTTTAGTATTTGTTGATGTAGATGGACGAATCTTTGCGAGTTTAAATGATGTTAAACGTTTAATACGCGAAAGTAACGTTCTTCTTAGTGCTGGATGATGCCTGAAATAAATAATGAAATAAATTAAAGTCTGAAATTATTTAGATACAAACGGATTGGAAAAAATTTTATCTTATAATGAGGGTTTTTTAACTGGGAGGACGTTAAGCTTATGGATCTATCACACAATTTAAGATTTCCCCAACGAAACTGACAACGATACGAAGAGTTTCGGGCATGTGATTCCCAATACCAAGTGTTTCACCCTATCAAGAGCCAACTTAGTTTTAAAATTTCATCTTAAATTGAGTAATGATAATTTCGGGTTATGAGAGTAGGGTTATTATTCAAGAAAATTTTTTTAATTCAAATTTTTTCTTAAATTTTCTTTAAAAAATAAAATTCTCACGTTAAAACAGTTATTTCAATCAGCCCCTCTATCATCGAAGTAAAAACGAACAGAACAGCATAGCATAAACTCAGGGTATAAGGTGGTTTTGTAACAATATTAAAATAAATAAAATAAGTAAGAATTGTATAAAACAAATTATTTATTAAATGACAGATGAAGACTGGAGCTAATTGTCTACTTGTACGAATATTTTCTGTCAGCTTTTTAAAATAAAATTTTTAATTTGGTTAAATTTTATTTTTTTATTCATTTTTAAATTTAATTATAAGGGTGTTTTTCGGCAATAACTTTTTCCTTAGGTTAGTGAAAAATCTTCGCCATACTTCATTTTGTAGCTAATTTAATTCTCTATCGAATGATACAGGGAACTTGTTAAGCTACTTTAAATTAGTTGGGTTATATAAGTCGGAATACATCAAGGTAGGGTGTTGTTACAACGCACGTTGTAACAACATTATTATTATTATTATTATTATTATTATTATTATTATTATTAGTTATTTAGCTAATAATTTAAATATTGTAAGGAAGAGAAAGATCCAGCTGGCTATCATTTAAAACGCTCATTAGGCGGGGGTTTATGATCTAATTAAAAGAAAAGGTGAATGCAGCGTCCCGGCAGCTCAGTCGGTAGAGCGCCTAGCAATAACTACCAGGAGGGCGCAGGATCGAAGCCTACCCAGGATAAAACTTTTACCTCGCTCTTACTATATAACCAAAACTTAAATTTAATTTGAAAGCAGATTTGTTAACATGCACATAAAAAGGTGCTACCTGATATTTTTCACTCAAAGAATAGCCTTCTGTATTAGGCAATAATTTTTTATATTTCTTTAAATTCTTAACACCAATAGAACCAATAATCTTTGAAATGAATTAAATAAATAGCTTTGTAAAATCATAAAAATTTACTAAAAATTCAAAAGATGAACAGAATAGAAGAAATGAATTTGAAACTAAATTAATTAATGTTGTATTCCAGGATTTTCCATTTGTAAGAACGTTTAGTGAGGAAAATATAAACTGTAGAAAATTAATTTTATGAAAATACTTTTTTAAATTAATTACAATAGGGGACGAGATCCATACGAGATCCTAGGACGTGATCCCGTATGATCCAATACTAGATCCGTCCCTTGTCGCACTCTAATGCGGGCTGTCTCTTGTAAAGGTCACTCCAACCCAGTACCAACCAGAATTAAAAAAAAGTATTTTAATATGAGAGTATGCGTAATTTTAGGTATTATACTTTAAGTAATTCAGTTTGAATATGAAAAATAATAAAATTACCAAAATTAAAAGTGAAATACAACTGAAGTACGGCTTACGCCAATTTTCATATTTTCTAGCCATAAAGTTAGCCAACATCCTTTCAATCAAAAGGATATGTCCAATAATGTTACGGGCTGTGTTTGTGAACAAAGAAATATCCTGTTAAATTATTTATTCCTAGAGAGATATCTACAGAAGTCATAATGCACCAAAATTATTGAAGTTTTTGGTAATACTATGAAGTGCCCCCCGTTTTTCCACATTTCGCGTACGTTATGAGCTTTTTTTGGAATCCTATCCCCGATAAATGATTTTATTTTTATGTTAGCTTGATACCTTATGTATATTGAACTGATAAAGATTAAGCTTAAAACCAGATCTACCACCTATTTAAAATAATTTGTTCGAGATCTTGAGGTATAAATCAAAGGAGAGTAGGGATGGGTCAATTTAAAAAATTATTTTCTCTGAGTAGTGTCTTTTCAGAAATTTAATTTTAGTCTCAATAGCAAGCACATTAGATTCTTTACAAAATTTAGGTCTCCGTTCTCTTCAAAATTTACTCAAAATAAAATTTAATTACTTGCAAAATCTGATCTCCAGGTCGGAAAATGTCTCCCCCTGTAAATTTCAACAAAACCATAGTCCAACGCTGAATTTCAAAAGTCGAAATAATTGAAGATTGAAAAATGAGTAAAAGCCATAAATTTGGGTGTAATATATTTGAGGTAATTAAAATTGAAAGGTTAATTAACGAAATACAAATAATTATTGGATGTGTAATTAATTCTATAACACCCATAAAATACCCAAAAAATAAAATTTCTGGGGGTAAAAGTGTTGTTAATTGTGTAGAGTTGGTAAGAGATGAAGACATTTCTAGGGGATTAAATTAAGAAATTTTTAAATTAAAAAAAACGCTGAAACTTGTATTACAAGATACCGTATTTTCTCGATTAATTCACCTAGAAAATTAATATTACAACATATGTATATATACGTGGGAAGGTGAATTATTAGAGGGAGGGGAGTTATTCGAGTTATGGCATTTGAACGTGCAGTAGTGTATTTGAGGGTGGGGAATTATTGCTTCAACTCAACTTCAGCATGGGGAATTAATCGAGAAGAGGAATTATTCGAGGGAGGGGAATTAATCGAAAAAATAAAGTAGAACATGTATATCCATGAAGAGACACACGACTTAACTTTTGTAACACCCTAATATTATAAAGGCATATAATTTATTAGCAGTTTTTAATTGAGCTCGGACCGAGACAGGATCTCGAACAAAATCCTCGTTATTAAAACTGCGTATTTAATGTGTGTAAATGTTTAATTTCAAACTAATAATTTCAATTCGCGGTTATTCCGAGCCAGAATGAGCCAATAAGCAGACTTTGGCTTAAACCAAAAGTTTATAAGCGTGACTAGAATAAAGAATTATTAATCAAGTTTGCTAATAAAATGTCTGTAAATACCAAACCAAAAATCTTTTATAAAAAAGTGTAAAGCTTTTTTGCTTTCGATTTTATTGTTTCATTAAAACTAATTTGTTATCTTGTCACGAAATATATCGTGTATTATGTACACCTTTGAAACATGAATTTGATGTTTATGTTGCTATGAGGTTAATATTCTAGAAAATTTCAAAAAATTGCTTAGAGAATTTAGCCTTAATAAATAAACGGATTTGTAATATTTTCTTAAAATTGGCTTAAAAAATATTTTATAGATATGAGAAAATAAAACTAAAATAAAAACATTAAATGAAAATAAATAAAATTAGGGTGTCGAGAAAATTTGAGAAAATTTTCTAAATTTGAGAATTTCTCACGAAAAATGTACATAAATCTAAATAAAAAATTAACAATGAAAATTCTGTAAATATGGAATATGTGTGATAAATAAAAAATGTAAAATAAATATTCAAGATACAAAATGAGTATAAATAAAATAAATATTAAAAAATATGAATATTAAAAAATTATGATGAAATGAAATGTGTCACGTATCTTTTATGCTCCCTATACATTAAAACGTTTTTAAAGTGTCAAATGCGGAAATGAGTTCTTGATAATAGGTGTGTCACTAATTTAAGAACACACCCTTACTGAAATAAAATAATGACTTAAAATTGTTGCCAATATTTTATAATACGTGTGGTTAACCGGAGGAAGCAGGATGCGTGCTTACGTTTGGTTGGCTAAATCATAATGTCTACTATTGTGCAATAATAAAAAATATTGTTACATTAAATTTGAGGTTTTTGTGAGAATAATAATTTTGGAAAGAAATTAAAAAAAATTTTTCGAAGTCGTATCTCAAAACTAGACGTGTACTATTTTTATTCTCGATTGTTCTCGTCTCGCCCCTTCTCATAAATCAAATTTAACCCAACACAATCCTCTTCAATTTTATTTTTCTTTTTAATTCCTTCCATTATTCTTTCTCCAAACTTTATAAAACGTTCTTCTAATAAATTAATTTCTGCTTTCTCAAAATCCTTTTTTCCGTGCGGCAATTTTAATCCGACAGACCAATACTTGCAAAATACATTATCCGTATTTTTGAGCTTTTTTCCAAGCAAGTTTTGCTTTGGTCTACATTTTTCTTTGTCCCAATAATGTCCAATATGTGAGTATTCAACTAGTTTAGGGTCTTCCTCTATTGTAGTAATTAATTGTATTCTAAGTCTGTTTTCAACTTTGATACAAAAATCTTCCCCTATTTGTTTATCTATTCCAATACATTCAATTAAAATAAAATGGTTATACTTAAAATATTTTTTTATTAAAACTTAGAAATTTTTGGTAAGGAACCTGTTTGTGAAAATCTACTCCTTTTAACCATTTTTCCCATTCACTTTTCAAATTTGATTTTGATGCATTATGTACCTGCCTAAGCATTTTCAATCCTAAAATACAAAAGTTTTTAAAAAAATATTTCTGTCACATTATTATGTAATAGTCTAAGAATTATTATATTAATTACTACATAGTCCTATGTATTATTTAGTCTCAGAATATTCAGTTAGGAATTATTTTAAAGCCATTGAAATTTGCCACAAGGTAGCAATATGTAATAACATTTTTCATCAAGATTTAATAGCGAAATTAGAATTCGATTTTCGAAATAAAAAATCGGGTTTATATTAAGCATCGTGCGAAAGAATTTATTTGACTCATAATTATTATGAATTAGTGCGCATAAATTAGGGGTCACTCATTTTTAACCACTTCTCAAGACAGCAGTGGAAGGTATAATGTCCAGAGTTGGCAAATAAGTTATCATATACATATGTATCCAAACTTGATTTCCCTGTACAGACTTGATTTCCCTGTCTACTAAGGATAATAGGTTTCCTGTAAACGCCCACATTCTGAAGGGATATTAATTTTTATATAAATTAACCTAAAGTCATCGTTTCCATAATTATTTGTTTTGTAGAATTATTTATATTAAAACCAACAGATTGTTCAGGAAATGAACTTGATATTATTGGGATTTTAAGGTTAAAGTGTTCAGTTAATCTATTAGTATTTAAATCTAACCAATCTTTACTTTCAATATTTATCAATTTATTGTAAAAGTCTGAACGATCTACGCGTTCTTTTATTGGTGTCCATCCGGGTTCTTTTAATTTAATTTCATTTAAATGAAATATTGCTGGCCAATTCCTTAAAAATATTTTTATAAATAGTCTTTATAAAATTTCCCAACCACGTTAAAAATGTCAAAAAAATTCTTTGTAAAAGGCTATGTAAATTCGCATTTGGATATAATAAATAAATTTTTTGAATAAAAATTGTGAGAATTGATCCACTTAGCAAACCAAATTTATTTCCATAAATTGAACTGTCTAAAAAATTTTTCGATTAAAAATTCAGAAAAAAATATCTTTTACTTTTTGCCCATTTTTTCATAGCAATAATTGCAAAACGGAAATTTTTAGTCCTTAAATCTTCTTTTGGAATTTTTTCCAAAATAAATTCATTTGCTTTATAACTAGCTAAAGGTAATATTTTTCTGTCTCCAATAGCTAAATTCTTTTCATTTTCCAAAACTTTTTCAATCCAATTTGGAGTATTTGGAATTTCTGAAGGCAGTAATATCAACACAATATCAAAGTCAATGTTTGAATAATTTAATTCAATTAATGGAATTCTTGTATTGACTTTTTGAATATTCTTTACATTATCCAACTAAATAAATTTTTGAATTAGATTTAAAAATATTTTTTATAGCACTGCAAATCCCCAAATAAACTCTAAATTGGAATAACCAGTTGCCGCGACCGCACATTGAGACAAAGTACATACAATATTCGCTCGCGAAAATCTCTCTTTGGCTGTCGCGAGTTTCTTACCGATACAATATTAAATATATGTTTTTTACACTAATTTAGTCATTTTTTA